GGCTGACCAGGTGATTATTCTGTATGCTAGACTACTGGCCGACCAGGTGATTTATTCTGTATGCTAGACTACTGGCTGACCAGGTGATTATTCTGTATGCTAGACTACTGGCTGACCAGGTGATTTATTCTGTATGCTAGACTACTGGCTGACCAGGTGATTATTCTGTATGCTAGACTACTGGCTGACCAGGTGATTTATTCTGTAGGCTAGACTACTGGCTGACCAGGTGATTTATTCTGTATGCTAGACTACTGGCTGACCAGGTGATTATTCTGTATGCTAGACTACTGGCTGACCAGGTGATTTATTCTGTATGCTAGACTACTGGCTGACCAGGTGATTATTCTGTATGCTAGACTACTGGCTGACCAGGTGATTATTCTGTATGCTAGACTACTGGCTGACCAGGTGATATATTCTGTATGCTAGACTACTGGCTGACCAGGTGATTATTCTGTATGCTAGACTACTGGCTGACCAGGTGATTTATTCTGTATGCTAGACTACTGGCTGACCAGGTGATTATTCTGTAGGCTAGACTACTGGCTGACCAGGTGATTATTCTGTATGCTAGACTATTGGCTGACCAGGTGATTTATTCTGTATGCTAGACTACTGGCTGACCAGGTGATTATTCTGTATGCTAGACTACTGGCTGACCAGGTGATTATTCTGTATGCTAGACTACTGGCTGACCAGGTTATTTATTCTGTATGCTAGACTACTGGCTGACCAGGTGATTATTCTGTATGCTAGACTACTGGCTGACCAGGTGATTTATTCTGTATGCTAGACTACCGGCTGACCAGGTGATTATTCTGTATGCTAGACTACTGGCTGACCAGGTGATTTATTCTGTAGGCTAGACTACTGGCTGACCAGGTGATTTATTCTGTAGGCTAGACTACTGGCTGACCAGGTGATTATTCTGTATGCTAGACTACTGGCTGACCAGGTGATTTATTCTGTATGCTAGACTACTGGCTGACCAGGTGATTATTCTGTATGCTAGACTACTGGCTGACCAGGTGATTATTCTGTATGCTAGACTACTGGCTGACCAGGTGATATATTCTGTATGCTAGACTACTGGCTGACCAGGTGATTATTCTGTATGCTAGACTACTGGCTGACCAGGTGATTTATTCTGTATGCTAGACTACTGGCTGACCAGGTGATTATTCTGTAGGCTAGACTACTGGCTGACCAGGTGATTATTCTGTATGCTAGACTATTGGCTGACCAGGTGATTTATTCTGTATGCTAGACTACTGGCTGACCAGGTGATTATTCTGTATGCTAGACTACTGGCTGACCAGGTGATTATTCTGTATGCTAGACTACTGGCTGACCAGGTTATTTATTCTGTATGCTAGACTACTGGCTGACCAGGTGATTATTCTGTATGCTAGACTACTGGCTGACCAGGTGATTTATTCTGTATGCTAGACTACTGGCTGACCAGGTGATTATTCTGTATGCTAGACTACTGGCTGACCAGGTGATTATTCTGTATGCTAGACTACTGGCTGACCAGGTGATTATTCTGTATGCTAGACTACTGGCTGACCAGGTGATTATTCAATATGCTAGACTACTGGCTGACCAGGTGATTATTCTGTATGCTAGACTACTGGCTGACCAGGTGATTATTCTGTATGCTAGACTACTGGCTGACCAGGTGATTTATTCTGTATGCTAGACTACTGGCTGACCAGGTGATTATTCTGTAGGCTAGACTACTGGCTGACCAGGTGATTTATTCTGTATGCTAGACTACTGGCTGACCAGGTGATTATTCTGTAGGCTAGACTACTGGCTGACCAGGTGATTTATTCTGTATGCTAGACTACTGGCTGACCAGGTGATTATTCTGTATGCTAGACTACTGGCAGAGTCTGATTCATATCATGCACATGTCACATTCTAAAGAGTCCACTATTATATGTGAAACTGTTTGCATTCCCTGAATATTCAAGCGTACCTTTTTTGTACTGGTTGCAGATGACATATACACATTGTTTCTGAGCTTGCAGAGTTAATATTTAAACTATAAGATATGCCTACATCATTTACTTGAAATAACCTAGTGCTAAAAGAGGTATATCAATTTGTTTTATTTGTTAATTGAATATTTATTAATTTTTGCAAGCATCTGAGCCACTTTTATCAAGATACTATTCTCGCTGTTTTTATATAAAATATACATGTACATGAGTTGGTGTTGAACATGATGAAGTTTCTTTAGGTGTGATTCAGCATTCTTTTTATCCTGGCAAGTGAAGTGATCTTTGCCTCTGTGGAAGAAAAAAAAAATGATTTTGTTTCTTATTGGAAGCAAATAATGTTCCAGATGCTTCTAAGTTTGTTATCATGTGAAAGTCGAGGATCACTAAGATCTGAAATGTCCTTGCACCTTCATAATTAATTACCTATAGATTACTAAATGACTACATCATAGTAACAGATTCTGATTTGAGTTTGAAGTAGGGAGAACATACTCAAAGGTGGGGATAAACATATTATTTGAGGATCATGAGGACTGTGTTGAAGGCAGGTAGAGGAATACAGCTATCGTTGTGTTTTCTACCAACACTACTCATTTGGGGTAGTATAATGTAGGGAGGGGGTGGGGGGAAATACACCATAACAGGGTTTTTTAAACTTCCCATTAATCAGTATTGTCTTGCCAAATGTTTAACAAATCAACTAATGAAAAAAGATATAATACGGTAAGAAGACTTGATTATTCCACTCTCTATCAGATGTAATTTGGAACTTTTATAGGTGAAAGTCTGAATTTGCTAATTTAGCATGTATGTCAACCTTGTTGATTGCAACTGAAATAGCTGCTGTGAGACTGCAAGGCAACAGCAGTAGGTCGGAAATTGTCGATACTCAGCTTGTCCTGCATATCAGTTTCTATTTCTGTCCAGGAGTCTTCATGTTTGATAACTTTCACTTGTTAATTGAATTTCCCAGTGAAGGAGGTGAAGTGAAGCTGCAAGTGGAGTCATGGTGTGCTGTACCACTGCATGCTGCACAAACAGGACAGGGCTCTACCTGGCCTTTGTGATGCCATTATGGGGACCTGTCATGAAAGTCCTGGTGTGCTGTACCACTGCATGCTGCACAAACATGACAGGGTCCTACCTGGCCTTTGTGATGCCATTATGGGGACCTGTCATGAAAGTCATGGTGTGCTGTACCACTGCATGCTGCACAAACAGGACAGAGCTCTACCTGGCCTTTGTGATGCCATGATGGGGACCTATCATGAAAGTCATGGTGTGCTGTACCACTGCATGCTGCACAAACAGGACAGAGCTCTACCTGGCCTTTGTGATGCCATGATGGGGACCTGTCATGAAAGTCCTGGTGTGCTGTACCACTGCATGCTGCACAAACATGACAGGGCTCTACCTGGCCTTTGTGATGCCATTATGGGGACCTGTCATGAAAGTCATGGTGTGCTGTACCACTGCATGCTGCACAAACAGGACAGGGCTCTACCTGGCCTTTTTGATGCCATGATGGGGACCTGTCATGAAAGTCCTGGTGTGCTGTACCACTGCATGCTGCACAAACATGACAGGGCTCTACCTGGCCTTTGTGATGCCATGATGGGGACCTGTCATGAAAGTCATGGAATGGATGCATACCGTGACATGCACACCTTCATCTAACATTCAGATGGCCCCCAGGGGGTTCCGGGTTCGAATCAGGTGGCCAGGCTGGGGAACTTTGTTGATTGTACCTTTTCTTTGTTTGTTTGCTTGCTGTTTAACGCAGCGCTCAGAAAAATTCCAGCTATATGGCGGCGGTCTGTAAATAATCAAGTCTGGACCAGACATTCCAGTGATTGATTTCATGAGCATCGATCCAAGCAATTGGGATATGATGACATGCACCTGCCAAGTCAGTGAGCCTCAAGACAAGCATGACCAATTCTAACCGGATCTTCACGGGGAGGTATCAAAATGAACACGCGGACCAAAGTTCAGTATGAAAATTACATGCAGAGATGGCAACCATTACTATTTGGCCAGAATCCTCATGATATTTTGAACCAAATTCTGTCAATATGATTGAGTAAAATATATCCAGAGTTTAACACACTGCCTGTCATCTATGCTACCAGGGTTCTTGGATCATTTTTGCGCCTCACATGGAAGGAATTGTATAATCGTGAGATCTTTTGTTTTGAACATTACAATTATTTACAGACCAGTGACTTGGTAGATAGCTTATCATCGTATCCAATTCGCGTGGATCATTGCACATAATGTGAATCACTGGATTGTCTGGTCCAGGCTTGATTATTTACAGACCGCCATCTATAGCTGGAATATTGCTGAGTGCGGTGTTATTAGACAAACAAACAAACAAAACATGCATTAAACTGACGTGCATATCATGATATGGGAATCCAGCAGAGGTTGCCAACAAATCACTATGACACCCAGGCCTGATGCTTTTTCTCTACACGAGAAATGCCTTCCTTGTACTCAGGTAGTCAAACCAGTTCAGGTCTTGGTTGAAATTTGTGGCACATCCTCATATAATGCTTACAGCAATGAATCAATAGTGTCTGTCTCCAGCACCCTGGAATACTAGTGTTGACATTGTGCTCTGACTGTTGACATGGAAGTAGCACTCGTACATCTAAATAATAGTGATTTTATTGGTTGGACCACATTGATTTCTTCAACAGCGTTGATGCTGAAAGGTTTGTTGGGAAGTTCCATTGAAGTTATAACAATGGTGTTTGTAGGGAAGCTCAATTGAAGATTTAACAGTGGTGTTATAGCAACAGTTTTGTACAGGGCATGTAGGTAATTGCTGTTGTTAGGAGCATATATTGTCAACAAAGCCAAATAAGGTTATAGATTTCTCCATCATACCTGTTTTTTTCTTTTTTACATTAAGCAAGTCTTTTGACAAGCTCATGTTTCCAGTGTTATTGCTCCTCTGATAGCATTGATTCTTCCTTCCAGAACAGCTGAGACGAATACCTAGGTCGACCTGCAATATTGCTCTTATTGCTGATTGAGGAAGGACTGATATTCATGAATTAATAATCATCCAATCAGAAGCTGTTTTGGTCCGTGTGTGTGTTGTCGCGGGGTCCTGCACCTGTGAAACATGCCAACAGATAGCATTGCGAAAGCTACGAAGACCAAAGGAGTTCGTATGATCAGAAGGCACAGGAGTCATACTGACGAGGGTAGGCCTGTTGGCGGGATGAGTCGTTACCGTGACGACATCGACACAGATGGCTTGATGCCAGCTCCAGCCAGGTTAATAACTTTTTTATATATATTTTAAGATTGCATGACATGTTTTTAATTGTTTGAAATGTATTTAGGAATTTAGTTTGTTTTCTTTGTCTGCTGTTTATTGTGACTTTTAATATTGACATTGTCATTAGAAATCATGAATACAACATGGTCTTTTCAAAGATTACTTTTTACATTAATCATGTTAATCAACTTTCTTTTAAACATGATAAAATTATTTGTTGTCGATAATTTAGAAATTATGAAAACAACATAACTTGTAAGGCATCTTGCAAATGTGAATAGGCAATTTGCTATTGAAGTCTTCTACGGGAATAAGTTTAAAAAGAATCATTGTATATTTTGAAATACAATGAAAAATGTTTAGATTATGGTTTTCTATTATGAATAATTTTTACTTGAATTAAGTAAGTGGTATGAACCCATTGGCCTAATTAAGTCATTTTAGTAGTCACGGTAACGGAAAAATCATTCAGAGCAAGTTGATTCTACTTCTGGAATCAATGATGTTTGTGATTTCTCTGACTTAAAGCATTTTATAGTCATGATAGTTGATTTGTAATTGGGGGCACAGGTGGCCCAGTCTTCTAAGGCGCCACGATTCACTGTGCAGAGTTGCGTCCCTTTGGTATGCAAGAAACCTATGATTGTGGGTTTGAATCACCGTTCACCCCATTTGTTCGCACCCGGGCTCATGGGTTTCACAAAAAGTAGTAAACATCTAAGACCTGCATCACTTCGGGCTTTCCTCCAACATTAAGCTGACACGCCGCGATATATATGGAATGATGTTAAAAGCGGCGTTAAACCCAACTCACTCACTGATATGTAATTTTTCTGCAATTTTTCATATTGACCTATAGATATAGAATCAACTGCAACAATGTTCAGGACAACACCATGCAACAATGTAATTTTTGTGGCAGGCATTTATTTTTATCCAATAATATTTTTTTTCTCCACAATTTGAGGGACAATTTTGTCTTTTAGATAAAATCCCAGGCCCCCTGCCCTAGATTGGTTGGTTGGTTGGTTTGTTGTTTAACGCCGCACTTAGCAATATTCCAGCTATATGACGGCGGTCTGTAAAATAATCGAGTCTGGACCACACAATCCAGTGATTAATATCATGAGCATCGATCCACGCAATTGGGACCTATGACATGTATAAACTAAGTCAGTGAGCCTGACCACCCGATCCCGTTAGTCGCCTTTTACGACAAGCATAGTCGCCTTTTTACGGCGAGCATGGGTTGCTGAAGACCTATTCTACCCCGGATCTTCACGGGTCCCCTGCCCTAGAATTTCAAATGGTCAGTCCCTTAGGCAATGCCATGTTGAGTTATCTGCCCCTGTTGCCCCCTGTTTCCCTCTCGTATTCAAGCAGGTGAGACGTGTGTGTTTCACCCTCTGTCTGACTCCATGTTGGTAGAATACGAAAACAGAAGACTATTTGTGATATATATATATTGGTGCTTCCACGTCTTCTGTTAATTTGGATGCTTCTGTTCCTGGCCGAGTTGCTTGGGTCAGTGGAATATCCGGGCTGTTGCAGCAAGACATTCATGTAGTGTGAGTTAAATGCTTGCCAGTTGCCAAGTGTTATTGAACTCAGGTGCTGTTTGTTGGTGCCAGGCTAACTAGCTTGAGCCTAAATATTGAGATTGAGAGGAACCTGCTGAGACTGGCTCAACAGAATATTATGTTACGTTACACAGTGCAAGTCTAAATCAATGTTACATTGTCCAATATTTAAAGTAACTTGATATTGTATTACTTTCCTTATTGCTTCCTTATTTTTTTTTACAAATGTTGTAAAGTTAGGGGAATACTTGGATCTTGGTTCGGTGACTTGGTGACTTGGTTGAAAGCATGTCATCATACCGTGATGGTGTAGATCGTTGCTCATAATATCAATCACTTAATATTCTGGGTCCAGACTTAATTATTTACAGGCTGCTGAGTGCCGTGTTAAGCAACAAACAATCACATTCAGCTTTGAGGATGCCGGCTGGTATTACTTTTGTGTTCAGTGTGCAACTTTAACTGTCGTGTATGAGGTGTCCCGTAAAGTTAGGGGAATATTTGGATCGTTGAGTGTTTGAGTGTGTCCGCTGTAGTATTTGAATCTTGGGACCTCTCAAATCTTTTCTTAATTATGACAAGGACCCCTTGGCTTTCCTGCTTGTAAACACGGGATGGTACACCGACATGGAAGGGCTCTACCTGGCCTTTGTGTGGAAGGAGCCCATCATGGAGCTGTATCAGGAACATCCTGGGATAACACTACACCTTCATTGCACATTCTCATGGTCCTATGGGGCGGTCGGGTAGCCTTGTGGTTAAAGCGTTCGCTCGTCACGCCGAAGACCCACTTTCGATTCCCGACATGGGTACAATGTGTGAAGCCCATTTCTGGTGTCCCCCGCCGTGATATTGCTGGAATATTGCTAAAAGCGGCGTAAAACCATACTCACTCACTCACTCACTCATGGTCCTATGGGGCGGTTGGTTAGCCTTGTGGTTAAAGCGTTCGCTCGTCACGCCGAAAGACCCACGTTCGATTCCCGACATGGGTACAATGTGTGAAGCCCATTTCTGGTGTCCCCCGCCGTGATATTGCTGGAATATTGCTAAAAGCGGCGTAAAGCCATACTCACTCACTCTTGTTTTTAAGTTGAATAATCAGATAATACACAGTGTGTTTATGTCTTACCATGCTGCCACAGATATGATTATGTAATACCTGATTACATCATACCTAATATAAGCAGTTTGTCAGGTGCAAATACCGAGATTGCTGTATTGTTAAAGGCAAACTCAGGAACAATAGACATTCTTGAACAACTCGGTACCATGTGGTGCACTTGTGTGTGCTTCGTCATGCCTTGTCTACCATTCTCTGTGGTCCTGACTGTAGTAATCTGTACTCATTACCTTGGTAGGTTTGTGATCACAAAGAACTTTGTTTTCTTTAAGACAAATGTTTTCCAGTCTAATGGAAAGGAAATTATGTGTATAATGTTTCTTTTGAAAACCAATGTTTTTTTGGCATGTCAAATGTTACATTTCACATTTCCAAGCATTTTTTTAAAGACATTTTTCGAAAACGCTGGCTAAGATTGTTTTGGAGTTGAAAGACTTTATTTAAAAAGGCATAGACATCAGATCACCTGTAGTCCTGAGAAGTGAGATTGGGGCTGATACCAAAAAATTGTTTGTTCACAGTAACTCCACACTGACTTTTCTTTACCAGACATTTTGTTTTCATGCAAGAAATGACAAGAATTTGTATTCATCTAAAGAATTTACTTGTAGCAAATAAATTGCTGTTTTCTCAAGTCTGAATATTGTTTCTACTTTGTGTCTTAAGGTTACACACAACCAAATGTTTTCCCATAGACTTCTATAGTAACGTTATATTTAAAAAAAAAATAACTATGCATTCAACAGCTATTACCTGTACGTGTGTGTACAGTTTGGCCTTAGAGCAGCAATAAAAAAATAAAAAATGACTAGCTTAGCTAGCTCCTTTTCCGAGTACCAGAAGCTAAACACACCACCCCAAGTTTCGCACCAAATGTCACCTAATTGAAAATAGCTGTGATCATATTCAGCATAAGTCATCATGTTGAAAAAGACAGTACTAAATATAGAAAAACATGGTCAGTTTTAATAACTGGATGGATGTACATTTGAAAGACATAAAAATCTTACAGAATATCCTCCATTCACAGCCTGCAGATATCTCTCGATCTGCACTGAAGGCTCCCTACGAAAACCGCACTGTCCAAACTGGTTCTGATTTGGTGTAGTAGAACCTTAACTCCCAAAATCTTCAAAGAGCTTTTGTTGCTTTCCATGTTGATTTGATGCTGATGTAGACCAGATGCCACTTCTGTCATTTGCAAGTTGATAAACATTATATTTTTCAGATTTGCGGGTATTTGAGTACAGTAAACTACTTTTATAACGAACACGCTTATAACGAACTGACGGACACGCTTATAACGAACTGACGGATATAACAAACTTACTTTTTTGTCCCAACTATCTGCTGTAGTTATGCTGTATATATGCTTATAACGAATTACGGTTATAACGAACTAAAATTAGTGGTCCCTTTGAGTTCGTTATAACCGTAGTTTACTGTACTAGTATTCCATGCCAGTATATTCAGTTTGAACCCAGTTGTTAACACTGACAGTTCCCACTGAAATGTCCAGGCATCGAATACACAACATCCACAAACATCGGGGGTAAAAACTCCAAATAAGCTGTGTATGTGCATGCAATGTGCAAACAAATCAATGTTACCCAATCATCTGCTGACTGTGTACAAACATGAAGGATTTGTTTGTTTGTTGTTTAATACCTCACTCAGCACTATTCAAGCTATGTAACAGCAGCCTGTAAATAATTGAGTGAGGACCAGACAATCCTGTCATTGACATTAGCACAACGATCCACGCCAAGGTGGTACGATGATAAACTGTGAACCAAGTCCCCGAGTCTGACCAACTCATCCATTCAGTCACTTCATATGACCAGTACAGTTTGCTGGGGACCAATTCTAACCCAGAATATGGAATGTGTTTTATTCTGCATGCCAACATCAAACTCTGAGATCTAACTGCAGATTGTGATGGACCAGGGACTCTTGCTATTGTATCTATACACAGCTAACCCATCTCTGGAGATTGTCATCTGTATAATTCATAGCTCCCCCTGTTGGTAAACAAGACTGAATTGGATGTCTGTGATGTACCTCCCAGGGGAGTGGATGCTTGACTGTGTTGACAGTTTGAGTCCACGAAGACATTTTGCAGGCAGATATTTGATACATGCTGTACTGTTGCTGTGTGTCATGTAACAGCAGCTGGTTGTCATGGACTTGTCACGTTGTTACTGTATTTGCCCTTGTTAGATACATGCTGTACTGTTGCTGTGTGTCATGTAACAGCAGCTGGTTGTCATGGACTTGTCACGTTGTTACTGTA